CACAGGGATTGATTATATCTTGAATGTTGGGGAGAATGGATTGCTGAGTTTAGTTATAGCGTTAACTCCTGCAAAATGACGATGTTGATTTACGAATTAGTCCATCTTTGCGCATATGTGTGATCTGCTGCTCGATTTCGCTTCTTTTCTTGAGTGACACACGACAGATTTTCCCAGTTGGTATAGGCGCATTTTTTATTAGGATGCGATGTCGAATAGGTCCATTGTAATGACCTAAGTGACCAGCTGGTCCTACGAAGGCTTTCGAATGACGATTTATGATGTTTAAATGTTCTTTTTGGCAAGGAGAAAGGGCGAATTTGGTGAGGTCTACCTCAGGTGCAACATTATAGTTTGTGACGCTGGGAATTGGAAAATGCGAAATCTTTTCCAATTTGCTTCTGGAGGGATAAATTCATTTTGTAGAGGTATATGGTCGTTCATAAATTCATTTTGTAGAGGTATATGGTCGGTATATGGTCGTCGGTTACGGCAAGTATTTGTTCATGGGTGGCATGTGCTATTCTCATTTAAGCATATGACTTGTTTCGGTGTAAGAAGAGTATAGTATGTTGATGATTGGGCAAACTAATGATCTTCCTACAACGTAGACAAGATCTCTTTTGATGTCTTCAGTAATAAAGAGTGAACTGGTTGAATCGTAGTTGTCAATAAAAGCGGTTACAATACGAGAAAACCTTTTGGGTAGTATTATGCTTTCTAGTAGACGTACATCAAAAGTCTTATTTCGGAGTTAATACTGTTCACTTGAATCATGGTGTGCGCGCCATCACCGTGAGTAGATCACATCATAGTGAGTAGATTGTTGCACATATCAATAGTAACATTTAGGCCTTATTGGTTCAACTTTCAATGAAGTCGGCTCCAAGGAGAACAGGAGCAGGACATTAGTGGCATGCGAAGAAAGAAATCGATGTGGAACTGTGTGTCCTATCCTGACGTTTGAATTTAATGATGCTAGAAGAGCCATTTGCGTGAAATTTGCTGCTTGGGCTCTTACGCGATTATTATCGATGTTTACATTTGCTCTAAGACTTTTCAAAGTGGATTGTCGCAAATAAGATATAGTTGCACCACTATCGATTAAAGCGGGGATAGATGTTTGACTTAGCGTCATTTTGAAGAACGGCAAAGGGTTTGTTATAGTATCTATTGAAATGATACAGAATAGATACGAGGTACAAAGAAGAATTCTTGTGGCGCAGTCGGATTGGGCTCTGTTACAAGCGCATTGATTTCTTTACGTCTCGGGCTTTTTTTGTGAAATTGCTGGTTCGAACGTAGCAGAAGCTGCGGTGTTAGATGCTCTAGAAGCGAAATATTTTTTTTACGCAACAGCATGTGGCGGAGAGTATGATGCCTACAGCTGGAAAAGTTATATATAGTAGCAATGAGATCAGAGACCATTTATCTTCTATTCCGACTGAGATTTTTTCAATAATTTTGGTATATATTGAGGAAAGGGATTCCTACTGAAGCCCCAGCACTTTTGATTTT